TCATTGTAACTTCTGTATTGTTAGCCAGTCACGGCTGAAAGGTCAGTATAATAAAATTAATAAATATATATAAATGTATAAGGTTATGAGATTTAAGCTATTTAATCTAAACATATTTATTGATAATCTGCCAAATTTCTTGAATATACTCTTACTAATTAAAAAGTTATAGCATGAAAATAATAACAAGCACAAAATGATTACGAGGTCAGTTCCAGAGACTGAGCCCGTGCTAAAAAAGTTAAAAGTATTAACTGATAGTAATCATTGTTTTATCTTCAACTTTTTATAAGACTTGTAAATTTTTATATGATACTTGTGAAACACTCCAGAAAACCTAATTGTTGAAATCTTCTTTGTAGAATAGTAAAAATTAGTTCATGAAGAAGATAAAAAAACAGTAAACACCACTGATTGAAATATGAAAAATGTGTATAAATACTTTGAAGTTGGTTTATTGCATCAATCACCCTTTTTTACTTATATTCAAATACTTTACTGATGTTGTCCTAGTCAGACCTTTCACTGCATTGTGTCATAGGGCCTATGGCATAATTATCTGTTTACATGTGTTTGTTGTGTCATCACATTTATAGTATATACTAAATTTTCTCCATATCCTCACAGAAATGTAATTGCTTTGGCTATGCATCTCAGAAGAATCCCCAAGTTTCTAGTGGTTATGTGTCGTGTAGATAATATAACAGTCATGTGACTGCCACATATCTTCTCAAGGTTAACATGCTTTCACAGAAGTTTTGGGATAAACCCAACTGTACATCAGTGTTACGAAACAGGATCAGCTATGCTTTAACTTGTGCAAGATGTTTTCCTCACTATCATTGCAGAAAAATCAAAGCATTTATTGTTGGAGAAGCCACAGAATTTATCCAAGATAAGTTTCAGTATTGTTTGCCTTTAAAGTCTGTGAAAACAGTAGGACTAAATATTTTCAGCAAGCAATTTTTGAGTGCTACTAAAAGTTAAAACAATATGCCATCACCAAACAAAGGATTCTACTATGAAATTGTAACCTGTTATAATGGCTTTGAAACTGTGTGCAAAAACTGCAACAACAAATTACAAAATGAAAATATCCACTCAGGAACAAAACACTGCTGCCATAGTAAAGGGGTTAAGTCCATTCTTATTCATTATATTTTTTGCAAGCTAGTGATTAATTCTCTTCATTTATGAACATTAATTTGTTTTTGTCACAATATACTTGTATGACTTTAACAAATATATTTCTTAATTTTTACAAACTAAATTACATCATTGAAAATTATAAATTATTCATAATGTAATAAAATCATCAGTTTTACTTTTAACCTAAAAATAACATCAGACTCAAACTCTAATTTAGTGTCTTTTCATACTAAGGTAACAAGAAAATAAGAAGATACTCTTAACTATTGGTGTCTTTTTCTCTTAGCCAATGGGAGAGCAAAGACATTAGAAAGCTAAGCTTGTTTGATTAGATTTTAGTGGTGTAACCTGTACTACAATGCTAGATGAGGCTTAGGACATGTAATGTTACTTGAGGCTTAGCTATAATTCAACTTATTGGTAAATCATAAAACAGGTTAAATACATTGTTTTATTAAACAAATACAATCTAAAGAATAGTTGATTGTATCTTTGTGTTTTAAGGATAAACTTGTTTACTTGACTTTAGAGTCATTAGTTTAAATTCAGTTATAGGTAGGTTATAAACCAGGCTAAATACATTGTATTATTACATAGATATCAACTAAAGTATAGACTAGTTATTTGTCACTTCTTTATAATTAAAGATAAACTTAATTACTTTAGTGCAAAGATAACGTAGTGATAAAATACTGTAATATATTTGATTTTCAAATGTTAGGTTAACAGTGTTGTCAGTGTCTTAATGGCAGTTATTGGACAGTCTCTTGGTGTATATACAGTTATAGATGTAGTTGTGATTCGTTTATATATAGCCAGGTTGTCTCACAATGGAAATAAGGAATAGAATTTAAAAAAACATCACAAATTTAAGAACTTTGAATTGACTGGTATGATGGGAGATTTAGAAGGTTATTAAAAATCAAGAAATTTGGTCAAACAGGAAATTAATACAACAAAAAAAGATGTGTGAAAAATGGTTGGCTAAAAATGTACAAATTAACAGTAAGGATTTCTTTAAATACATTAAATGTAAACAAAATGTTAAGATAGAGTATGACCTTTGAGGGTTGATAAAGGAAGGCTCATATCTGATGATTATAAGATGTCTGGTTTATTAAATTCTACTTTTTCTTCAGTTTTTACTGAGGAAGATTTAAGGAATATTCCTCATCTTGAACAGTTGATAGATGGAAACAAGATCAAACAAGATGATCACATTAATTCTGATCTTGTTGAGAAAAAATTGGGATGTTTAAGGAATGATAAGGCTCCTGGGCCAGATAATATTTCCCCAAGGGTTTTGAAGAAGGTTAAGGATTGGATATGTGAACAACTTGCTACTATTCAATAGTGGGCAAGTGCCAAAGGATTGGAAGTTGGCTAATGTTACTCGTTTTTTCAAGGGAGGTGATAAATATTGTCCAAGTAATTAGTCTTACATCAATTGTGGGAAACGTTTTTGAAAATCTGATAAAAGATTCTTTGCTAAGTCATTTAACAAAGTTTAAAATTTTATAGGATAATCAACATGGTTTCACAAAGGGAAAATTTTGCATTACTAATCCTTTGACATTCTTTGGAAAGGTTACTGCTTATGTACATGAGGGTAAGGGTGTAGATTCGGTGTATCTGGATTTTCAGAAAACATTTAACAAGGTGCCACATAAAAGGCTTATAAAAAGAATTATCTCTGTAGGTGTGGAGGTTAAGTTAGCTAATTAGATAGAAGAGTGGCTGGATGGAAGAAAGCAGAGCATTGTTATAGATGGAGTTCAGTCAAATTGGATTAATGTCACTAGAGGAATATCTCAGGGCTCAGTCTTAGGACCTTTGCTCTTTTTTGATTTACATCAATGACATAGATGAAAGAATGGTCAATAAATTACTTAAATATACAGATGATATTAAGGTCTTAGGTGTTGCTATCTGTGAAGAGAATGCTGCTGCTGTACAAAAGTATTTAGTTCATTTAGTGAGTTGGATAAAATAAATGGCAGATGGGTTTTAATTATAATAAATTGGGTATTGTAATTTTAATTATAAGTGTAATTTGGATGGGAATAACCTTAACAGTGTCATGAATAATTTGTAGAAAAACTTTTTTTTACATCAAGTTCTGAATATCACTTTGAAGCTACTAGTAAAAATAGAGATGAAATAACATAGGATGAAGTGTTGGAAATAATTTAAATATTTGAATTATTTTGAAGATAAATTACAAATTTTGCTGTTATATACTTGCTAAAAGCAAAACATTTATTTAAATCTGATTAATTATAATTTTTCAAATAATCAAAATTGTAATTTAGAATTGACAACTATAAAAATTGTATTTTCTTTTTAATTTGTAAGCTTACTGATACCAAACAAATATGTACTGTTCATGTATTTTTATTTGCATGTGAAGTAGGCCTGAATATTTGTAGAAAAGTTTAAAGAAGTTATATTTTTGACTTAGCATTTATGACTTTTATTAAGCATATTTAATAATTTATGTTTAAAATTGGATAGAAAATGCTAAAAAATCATTCATATCTGTGTATGTTCTTTTAAGTTTTCACTTATCACAGTTTGACCATTCAAAAACAGTTTTTATTGCTTTTTTATCTATTTTATTTAGATAAAAGTATAAAAAATTGTGTTATTTCAATAATATTAAAGTCACTATATAGCTATTGTCATTGGAAAAAGAATCAATGTAGCAGCATTCTTATTAAAGTGAATACACTAACATAGAATACAGGATTGTTATAAAGGTAGTTTGGTATATAAAACAGTTTAGGTCAATCTCTGTTAACATGCAGGTGAAATATTTTGCATCCATACATTATGACTTGCCTGAAGTGTGTTACACTGGTTTCTGGATGATACTAGGGATGTTTCTGAAGGAACTGTTCAGTGTTGCCACTACAATTTTCTATTACTTCATCTATTTTATTGGATATTTAAGCATGTAGCATCTCCCTGGGAATTGCCTGAATGTCTGTTAATATGGTGCCTGTCATGTGAGAAATGATTTCCAAGTTATGATAATAGACCTGCATCTTCAGAAATTCCCTAAATTATTAAACACTGGCTGTCATTGGAGTGTGATAGCCAACCATCATGGAAGTGACTGTTGAAAACCATAAGCCTATATTGAGCAGTGTCTTTACCAGGTTGTGGATATCCTAGAAACACATAAATAGTAAGAGTTCTGGAATAACAAAAGCATGTAACAACTTGTGATAATATTATAGAACAGCTGCTCTTCCTGTTTGTTAGAAGTTACAAATCAATCTACTGACAGTGGAGGTAGTTCTACATAGTCATCACCATATAGCAGTCTCAGTGTTGCAGCCGTATTGATAGTACAGCTTCACCAATACTATTTATAGCTAATGACAGAATAACAGTTGTTTGTGCCATCTTGTCAACATTATTTACACACAACTGTGTGCTGTGCTCCATTATGCTGTTTCCAGAAATCAATGGATGCACTATCAAGATTTCTTATGCATGTATGCAAAATATTTTGTTTATATATATTATACCTACAGACTCTTCAATATTGACTGTATAACCCGTCTGTATTTGATCCCAGTTTTCCATTCTTTCTCTAATCTTTAAGGAATTCTTTTGTTCATTATATCTAAGATAAAAAAAAATAAAACCTTTAAGATGGGTGACTTTAAAATAATGATGAAAAACAATAAATGTAGTGGGAAGAAAATTGTATAGTATTTTTAAGAGGACATTCAGTATTTCAAAGGCGTATTTACTTGTATAAATTCATGAAGCTTTTTAGTGAATGAAAATGTTTTTGAGAGCTATTGAAATACAAATAACATTGTCACAATGAACAATAGGGTGCACCAGAGGGTGTATTGGAACGATGCACACATGCTCGTGTTGGAAGCAAAAAAGTACCTATGACACCTGAAATAAAAAGCAAAGTAATGGATGTAATTCGTCAGTATGGAACTGGAAAGGACACTTTGCGTTGTCTGGCACTTGCAACTATAGATGATCCTATTAAACCAGATCAGATGGACCTCTCTGAGTCCAGCAAGTTTTTTAAATATGAGGTATTGTCCTTAACTACAATCAGTACATTTATGGTAAGTTCTGAGTAGCTAAGCATTCATAAGGATACAGAGAAGTAATTTTTAATTTCTTGAAGGTGATGATGCCAGGTTAACACCTGTGAAATATCAAAATATTTTTACAGTTCTTTAATAATCCATTTTATTTGTTTTGTACGTTATTTACCCCTCAATGTTAAATGTTATGAGTAGATGTACATCAATAATATACTCTTATTAAAAAGTGGTAATTTACTTAGGTTTTCTTAATTACATTTTCCTGATGTGGGAAGTACTTTCAGTTGAAATTATATATATGTTTACATAATTACATTCTTTAGACTTACTGGCAGTGAATAGTATGAAAACAAGTTGATATTTTGAGGGTTAATATGCTAACTGTGCAGTAGAAGCTAAAAACTTATTATTCTAAGGAGATTATGAGAAGGTTCTAGATAAGTTAAAAGTTCTCAGTGAACAAGTCAGAGTGAAAAAAGAACTATTTTAAATCCACATATTTGAGATTCTTTAGTCAAATTATGAGTATTTCAGAAAACTTAATACATAATTGCCAAATCAAAGGTGTTTTTAGGCCCAGTGTCTTAACTTAGCTGTAATTAGGTACATATTTCCTAATATGAATATTTTATTGCATTATCTTCTTGTGAATATTTTATTAGAAAAAAAAAATTACAGAAAAATAACAGTACAATAGATAACAAGCTTTTACTTTTTTTACTCTTTTATTTCATTTTTTAATGTATGTTTATTTGTAGTTTTACAATTAATATTGTATATGTATGATTTTACAGAAAAATATGACATTTGTGGGAGTTGTTGGGATGCTGGATCCTCCAAGAAAGGAAGTTTTTGATTCTATTCAACGTTGCAAAGCTGCTGGAATTAGGGTTATTGTCATTACTGGAGATAACAAGGTATGAAACTGTATTTCTACTTCAAGGTGGTTCTTTTTTTGATTGTATGAAATAAAATACAGAGGGATGAGTACTTTATATGAAAATGATTTTGATCAGCAAGTTGTAGTGTAATTTCATGTATCAGAACTACTGAGAGACCATTGTCATTGTACACCAGATGGAGTCTAAAAACCAGCATAGATAAGTGGTGTGCTTTGGAATGACAGTCTTACGACTGTGCATTTTGCAATGGAAGCTCTGCTCCAAGGCCAAGATGCATAGTCATCAGATAGAGCATGAACAGACATGGCAACGTGGACTGTAATGATATGCTGACACTCCGAAATTGTTTTAATATAACATACTAAGCTTCTTTTGATAGCACAACAATTTATATCATATAAATTGTTTAAATTGCTTCTTGGGAAAAGGTTAATGTATTTTCAATCATTTTAAAAAGCAATAGTAGATTACTAACATGATAATGTTGGAAATAATTAATGAATTTGATTTGAAATTTTTTTGAATAAAACTATTGTTTTTACCACAGATGCTGATATGTTTAACATGATTTGTATTATGCAGATGAAAAGTTAAATACACAGCATATAACAATTAAAACAACAAGGACAAACATATTGTTATACACTTCAAATCTGACCCATATGACTAACTACATTACAAAAAATAATAGCACAAAATTGCCCATGTGTGCTATTGGTCAGTATTTTGCCAACTTAAACTAATTCACATCTGATAAAATAGAACTCTTGAGTGCCAAATTTGATCAAGATTTGTATGGCTACACTTGGTTAACCCTATTGCCACGGGTCAGAGGCCATGTCGTCTCATTTGTTGACTCGCATTCAAAATTTTATTGGACTACTATTTTATGAATGTATGTCATTAAGTTTGGTATCAGATTATAGATTATAATTCTAATTTTAGTATTATAATTAGTATAATTATAAATTTCTTAATTTAAAAGTAAATATTAACAAAACATACCTAAATACCAATTTTTGTGTGTCACGTGGTGTGTTGAATGCAACATTGGTTCAAATTAGATGTTTGTGATGTCCAACTACAAAGTCTATAGTTTCTTATGAATTAGATTCTGAAACTACAGATATTGATAAACTAGAATATAAAATAAGAACCTCTTATCTTTTCTATTTTCTGAGATATTAATATATTTATTGAATCAACCAAGGTGGCCCCGCCCACCTCTTCATCTTCTGAAAATACTTGCTTACATACACCTACTTTGCCCAATGATATGATATGTGTATAACCAATCAAAAGCTCAGAATGTCCACCTAGTGGCTTTCTCAGCCTCTTTGAAGTATTTGGGCAGCAAAGTCATTCTTTTCATGCTAGATTCTAAGCGGTAAGGTAAGACTTTAGTCTGCTCAAAATTCCATATTTCTTTAGACTGAAATACATCTTAGTTACTAAGCTTGATAAATTATAGTAATTAAAGTAATTTATTATTTTTGGTTATTTCAAAATGTATATATAAAACCTAAAAAAAATTATTTTGTTTCACTTCCTCCATGTGCGAAATTTGAAAAGGCTTAGCAACCTATGACAAGCAGCAAATGAGTACAAATTTTGCAACTAGAAGAGATAATTGTTTTCTATACTTCTTTATTTACTGTTCTATGTTTTAAGAAAAATAAGTTTTAAGAACTTATTTGTAAAAAGTAATGATGTAAATACATATATAATGCATTATAACTGAAATGTGACTGTATCTTACAAAATACTAGTCCACTAAAACACAGCCAAGACTATAAAACTCTAAAAGCTAGTTTTATATTATTGGATACACTAACATGAGTGCACATGCACCGCGTCATTGCAATTTCTGTTATGTTAGCCAGGCACAGCTGAAAAGGTCAGTATAACAAAAATAATAAATATATGTATAATTTCTAATTTTATGAGATTTAAGCTATTTAATTTAAACATTTATGTTTTCGTGTTATAATTTGTTGTCATTCTAGATCAACCAAATCTGTACAGAGATTCAATAGTGAAAATAACAGATAAAATATAAAGTTTTTTCTTTTAACCCTATTGCCCTGGGTACCCTTTACTGTGTATGACACAAGGTTTTAGTGTCTTACATTCAAAATTTTATTAAACTACTTTTTGTTTATGTTATATCAATTAGAATAGCATAAAATCTTAGCTAATAATCCATATTTTGAATATGCAAGTTTTAAGTTCTTAATTCTACAAGGCAATATTTTAAAAATCCTGAATTTCCACTACTGTGACTCATGTGACACATTTTCTCTTAGCATGTCATCATCCCTATTTTATCCACCACCCCTCCAAAAAGTATGAAATTAAACATAAAATACTCTCTATAAAATCGTTATTGCTCAGACAAACCATAATATTTATAGCCTTTAATTTTGTTTGGTTACAGAGCTATCTAATAGAAATTCAAATCCCTCCTGCCACACCCACCTGTCATGTCCTCTCTTTCACAATTCGTTTATAGTTCTCTCTTACATTTCATTATATATTACCTATAACCAATAGAAAGTCAAGGTTTTCATTTATCAAATTATGTATTGTTTAACGTTATGTTCTGAACTGTTAAATGTCAATTTCATTCAGAGTACAAGCAACGTTCCTATGGGAACATTAATGACTAGCTTGAGTGAATTTGTAACGGCTCTTGTAGTTATAGTTAGAAAGTCAGGAAAATTTTAAGAGTTAAGGGAATTTGTGTACTTTTGGCATGTTATTAGTCTATATTCTTTGGTGCATTATTTAATTCAATAAAAATTATTAAGTGCA